TGATGGTCATTTCGACATAGTCGGGGTAGGGAGGCCTTACCGTTTTCTCAGTTTTAGAGAGTTTTAGTTAACCGTTTTTGCACATCCTATACAGTATTACCGTTTTCTCAGTAATAAGAAGAGCCTTAAAAGGTAGGTCAGATGTATACTACACGTATTACGAATTATTCGGTGTCAGCACGCAATATATACCAAGTTTAAAAAAAATGTATCGAAGTCGATATTAGAGACTTTTCGTTGACCGTTTTCTCTACTACACTTTCTATGCTATGAACACGCCGGCAAAGCGCGTGCGCACCTGCAGGCTTCTCAGAGCTTCGGGTCTTGTACCGAGTTGCAAAGAGCTTTGCGCGATGGCGAGACAGATGTACGTAAACTACGTATTTATTATGCTTTACGCGTAGTGTTGCGGGGAGGCATCAGACCGACACATCAAACTGCGGCAAATGAGTCTTGCCGAGGTACATTTTCTACAAAAGAAATCAAATGTCAGTGCAAGCCGTCTATTGACCCGGCTAGGTGTGCGATGAACAGGCTACCCCGTCTAATGTCAACTTGGGTGGCACTAGATGGAGTACAGTTCTTCTATTATCACCTAAGAGAAAGAAGAGAAAAAAGGCACGTCTTCTACGGTAGCCCTTACAGAACGCGCCGTCCAAGACCGATGAGGGCGACGGTAAATCATCAGTCCATAAACACCGACGTCGGTTTTCGCCACCTCAGGTAGGTTCGCCGGAACAATGGGGGAAACTAGATCCCATCCCACCGCCCCCCCCTCCCCCCCCCCCCCCCCCCCCCAAAAAAAAAAAAGAGAAACCAGGAGAGAAAGATGGGAGAGAAATAGGGAGAAGCTGTCCCGCCTGGCAGAAAATCGATTATCTCCTCCTTCATCGTACGCGGTCCAGTGGCTTCCTCCTGGGCTTCTGGGGCCGTCTGCGGTTAGAGTGTCTAGACTTAAGAGAGCAAGCAACTCAGAAACATGAAGCACGTCTGCATCTAGGCAGTCTAGGGTAGTAAGACGTTACGTGTAACGCGTTACTGTAACTTGTTATTTTTTTTGGTAACTTTTGACCGTAACGCGTTGCTTCTTCGAAATGAGACTCGTAACTGTACTTATATTGTCAGGAAAGAAGGCGACGAGACGATGAATCATGAACTAAAAATAAAGGTTTAATCGGTGAACTTGTGCCAGAAACAAAAGAACAAGGAAGAACACACGTCGAGAAAGCAGCAGCGAGCGACGGTGCATCGGCGTGACAGCTGGGCAGCTGGCTAGAGCGAGAGGGAGTTAGCAAATGAATCAGCAATAGCGCGCTCGGCTTCTTATCTATTACAATCGACACCTCGAACATTCTACCTAAAATGTTCGGGAGTTAGGCAGGGCAAGACGGACTGTGCAAGTTCGTTATAGTCTCCTTATATTCTACACTGGGGTTAAGAATAAACACGAAACTTCTCGATGCGCGGAGAAGCGTTTCTTCTCGGTCATGCACGCGGTAATATTCGTTTTTTCAAAGAAACAATTACAGTGACAACGCTACTTTTGTGGTTAGTTCTAACAGTAATTTGAGGTTAACATATCACTGAACGAGTACAGTCTTGCTATTTCCCGCACTTTCCAAATGATGTGTTTCGACATTTTGAAAGTCATACTCGCCTTGCGCCAACTTAATTCGCGCTTCATACAATACACCTTTTGATTTTTTTAAAGGCGGAGGGGTGCGGAGGGGGGGGGGGGAGGATGGAGGATGAAAGGGGGAGGGGGGGGTGGCGCATTGTGCTTTCTTTGTTTAGTTCTAATGTTATACCAAAGCAACAAAAAAATGATGTCATTACTTTTTGAAGTAACTGTAACTGTAAGAAGTTACTTTTTCGTTGCGGTAACTGTACCGCTAACCTCGCCATTTTTTGTGAAAGTAACTGTAATTGTAACAAATCACACATAGGAAGTAGCTTACCCAAGACTGCATTTAAAGCGCGACTTTGAAAGTCACGGATTTGCCTTACGATTTGCTCAACGCATTAATAGACCCGAAGATATAACCCAAATTACAAGTGACGTTTTTTGTTTGTTTGTTTGTTTTTTTGTTTTTTTTTTTTTTAGCTCGCGAAACAGTGGAGTTTTAAATTTTGCCTGAAAGGCTCGAACACGGAAAACATGACGTCCGACGTTGTAATACGGTGGCAGTACAGGTCGCCCCAGTGGGGCTACGAGAAGATTAAATGGTAAAAATTAAATGCAAAAAAGAAAAAGCTCACGCCAACAAAATAGAAAAAAACGCCGAAAACCACGTTTTGTTAATTTTTTTTATAATGATTTCTTTTTTTATTTGCAAGCAGTGCGCCATCTGACTTTACCCCACATGAGAGCGCAAAAAAATTGCATGTTGGTTTTCGCATAACCTTTATTTCCCGCTATTCCCATACCTATATTTTTAGATTTTTTATTTATTTATTTATTCTGCTTAATGCGCCCACAAACAGCTCGAGGCCTTATTAGTGCAATAGATAGATGAATAATAAAGAGCATGCCGCGAAGAGCAAAGCCAAGTAAAGCCCGGGTATTTCGAAAGTGTGTAAACTTTAAGAAGCTCAAAAAAAAAAAAAAAAAAAAGAAAGAAAGAAATCAAAAGCGTTATCTTTCAGTGGCGATCGGTTGGGCATGCGCAAGCCAAGGTTGGAGACGCGCTCGCAGACGATCAACGTTTTCGCCTGCTCCTGCGCAAAAACTTTTACAACACGTAAAAGTTTTACATGTTTTGTTCAAAATCAAACCTCGCGGTTCGACTGGTTGAGTGAACCTTCAAACTTTTAGTAAAGTTCGACAAAGTTCAAGGTATGAAAAGTGTCACACAACTTCTTGTGTACACAAAGTGTACACAAGCATTTAGCTTATAAAGTAGGTTATTTTATATATTATAAAAAGTACCCATGTTTACAGGATATAAAAGCAAAGATAAGCAGTTTTATTTCTTTAGTCAGCTTAACAATGTGAAACAATATACCCAATAAAAGTTGAACTTGTCCTCCACCAGGTGGCGTGAGCTCGCTTACAAATTCTCGCGCGTGCGCACAGAAGCCGAACTTCGGTCGAACTAGAACTTAGAGTTAGGAGTTCGCAAAAGTCAAACCCGAACCTCGGCAGGTTCGCGACATCCCTCGTCACAAGCGTTCGTAACGCAGTCGGAAAAAGACAAGCGCAAATGAGCGAGCCAGCCTTCGAGTTTCCGCAAAACCGTGCAACACGCTGTAATCATGCATCGCAGCGATCCACCCCTCCTCAAAGAGTTGTGACTCATATATATTTGTACGTTTTCAAAAGCTCTACTGCACAACGTAAACGTAAAACAAAACCAAGCAGTTTAACATACGTTCAGCCCTAACTCCTGCTCATCTCTCCCCGACCACGACAAGATGTCGACCGAGAAAGAGAGAGACCGCCAGCCAAAACCCGGCATCAAACGGTGACTTCGTTTGCGAAAGCAGCTCTCCCGATGCGTAACCTGTTTTTTCTTTTCGGGCCCTCAAACCGCGGTCGGCGACGCGGGGCTCGGACTAACCAGGTTAGAGCCCGAGGGATCGAGTCAAGCGTGAGCGTGTGGAACGCTTCGAGCGGCTACGCAAAGCTCGCCAAGCTGATTACGGCTAAGGCGACATTACGGTGCTCTTATGCTAATGACGCCCCCCCCCCCCCCCCTCCCCCACTCCCCTCCCTCCCTCTTGTATCCACGGAGAGAAGGTGGACTCCGTACTTGTTGGCGAATTAGCTTTGGAGTTGTGTCTTCCCTGTCCCCAGGTGGAGTCGAAACCTCTTCCCCAGCTTATTCTCGACATTCTCTCGCTTGAGCTCACCCGGGCAGATTGTTTGCCGCCTAGTTCGTAATTAATTTTAATCCCCAATTATGAATTACGGCGAAAGTTACGACGAAGTATTGTGGTAGGGTGCGTGGTTAAAATGTACGCGTTTAGTGATTTAAAAGAGAAAAATGATATGGTAAACCTCGGAAATGAGAACGGTAAAAAAATGAAGGCAGGCAATTTCGGCTACCCCATGCCACGAAGGCATTCTCAACTTCATTAAGTTTTGATCAGCAATCGAAGTGCTAAAACATGATGCAGACATAACTCAGTCACCCAAGCACCTTGGAGACACCTCAGCCAATCCTACCTAGAACTCAAACCTTCCTGCCGAATAGAGATGCTTGAGCCAAACTGAAGCATGCGGCCGAATCCTAGACCCATGCCAAACCGGGAATTCAGCCGAATACGAGTGCTCTGGTCAAATTCAAGATTCTAGCCATATTGGGCATTTAGCCAAATCGGAGCGGCCAGCCGACTGGGTCCTTCCGGCCAAATTGGGTCATCGGCCGGAAGGGGCACCTCAGTCGAATCGAGATGCTTTAGCTAAACTGAAGCGTCCAGCCGAATTGTACACCCTAGCCAAACTGGGAATTTAGCCGAATTAGAGCGTGCTGGTTGAATTGGAGATTCTAACCAAATTTGGAAATTAACCAAAATCGAGCGTCCAGTCGAATCGATCCTCTTAGCCGAATTGGGTCATCAGCCGAATGAATACCTCAGCCGGATCGATACGTAACTTCTGAAAAATACGCTCGTCCTCATTTTGTCAGGGGCTATAGTTGAAGTCAGGTCAAGACGCCGGGTGTTTCAACTTGTCCCTGGGTTTCAGTTATGAAAGTAAGAAAGCATAGGCAGAATCGCGATTTACGAAAGGTCAACGACTCACTTCAAAAAATAAACCTGAGTAAAAAAAGGACAATAAAATATTTGTTGGTTAAAGAAAAGGGGGCGAAAAAGCCATGCTATATACACTCAGATAAAAAAAAAAGTATTCCAGCGGGCCATGAAGCGATCCACATCTGCTCCTCTTTTGACGCTTACATGGGGCCAACTTGAACTCGAAGGCATAATATACACATAAGGGGGTGGTGTAAACACGCAGGCAGATAAACATTCTCGTGAAGGAGGGAGTGACTCACGAGATGATGACGCACTGCTTCTCGGAGTCGATGACCATGTTCCGGTACATGTTGTCCGCCAGTGCGTAAACATGAGGGGGGTTCTCGTATGATGCCTAAAAAAAAGAAAGGAAACGAAAAAAAAAAAATAAGGACCGGACGAATATTAACAATTTTTTTAAATTAATTAATAATTATATTCTTTATTTTCTTCGTGCCCCAGAACAACCTCGCGGTTTTAATGAGGTAGCAGAAGATAGGAAATTTACGAGATACAACTCACATACTTTCGCACACGATAGAAAATGAAAAGAGATCGAACTCATCACGGGAAAGTCATAAATAAATCGCACAAAGCTAGTTCAGATGAGAAAAGGTTCCCGCTCCTTAGAAACTTAAAGGCAACAAACAAGGGGACAGAGAGACCTCGTCAGGCATCGTGTCTTCAGTTTCTGCCCACCTCCCGGTCCAATCGGGAAAATAAAGAATGAAGAAGAAAAAAAAAAGACATACGAAGAATTTTTTTAGGACCAAAAATTTCACAAATAAGAAAAGAACATGGTCTATAATCATCAAAAGACTCTTAAACATAGAGCTCAAAGCTAGTTTACGCTTGAAATGGTTGATTTTATCACAAATGTTTTAACACGGAGACCCTACATAAAATTCGTTAAAGGAGAATTGCCTGCGAAATAAAGGTAATATTTTATCCCTCGAAGGAAGCGATAGAATAGAAAGAAGTGTCTACAAAAGTGTGCAGGTGCACGAACATGCACACGGCTTAGCAAATCACATCGAAGCGACAATTTTAACAGGCAAGCTAAAGAACAGCGAGCGTAGAACGTTTTTTTTTTTTCTATGACACACAGATGATATCAATATAAATACCAAAAAAGTTTTATCAAAAATTAAACTATCCTCCGACGTTAAGTTCGGTCCATAGCCGAATATATAGAGAGTTTGGTCATTAATTGGTCTGATTAAGGCGAAATTAAGGGCTCGTCATCGGCTGAGATTATTACAATGACAGGTCATTTGATTAACTACCAGCCACAAATATCCCCCTAGCTGAGGCTATGAGCTTAACAAATACCCTCGAACCACACGATTTCTAGGTACGATGTGACGTATTTCAGCATTTCATTTCAGCACGCTAGAGTTGAAGTTTCCGACACTTCATTGACTGAAAGGGCAACGCTCGTGATGTTGACGTCACAGCGACATTCAAGATGGACTTTATCTTTTTGTATACACCTACTCATGTTTACAAACAAATGGATGGATGGATGAATACGGCTGAGCCCTTTGGACCGGGCGGTAGCTTACGCCACCTAGCCATTTTGTTTTACCATTTAAGCTTAGAATATTTAAATGTGAAATCTATATTCACTCCGCAGTGCAAAGAAAGTGAGGCTATGAAACCCCCTTGCCATCAGTGAATAAGAAAATACCTAGTTTTCTCTCGATTTCTGCCACCATTCACTTAATCTTTGCTTGGTAATCTCTACAGTCTTGAAATCCACTCTCCCTTCGCTGTCTCTAAAACCCAATGACTTTATTAAATCTATGTTGTCTTCGGTAGGCATAGGGTGAAGCCCTTTACAGTAGAGTATCAAGTGCTCAGCCGTCTCGTCCTCCTCTCCACAAGCAGTGCACACTGTATCAATTTCCTGGTACTTCACTCTGTATGTTCTGGTTCGCAGAACACCCGTCCTCGCTTCAAACAGAAATGAGCTTCCCCTAGAATTGTCATAAATGCTTTCTTTGGCAATAACTCTTTTGTTTAATCTATAGCTTTCCAGAGCCGTCTTTGTCTGCATTCCCTCTAGCCACCAATCTCTTTCTGTGGCCTTAACTTTCTTCTTAACTGAGACTTGCTCTTCCGTATCTTCGCTATAGCCCAAAAACTTTCCTCTTAATTTCCTAGTGCGCTGTCTCCACTTTGTGTCTACACTCCTCATGTATAAATAGCTGAAAACCTTTCGTACCCATTGCTCCCCATCCATTTGCCTCAACCTATCCTCAAATTCTATCTTGCTCACCGCTTCCCTGCTCTCAAATGACGCCCATCCCATGTCTCCTTGTACTCCCTGGTTTGGCGTTTTGCAATGTGCCCCCAAAGCCAGTCTACCTACTCCGCGCTGTTTTATTTCTAGTCTCGCATGCACTTCGGATTTCATGCATAGCACTGCGTTTCCAAAAGTCAAGCCAGGCACCATGACCCCTTTCCAAATCTCTCTTACCACCTCGTACCTGTTGTAATTCCAGAGTGCTCTATTTTTCATTACAGCTGCATTTCTGTTGCCCTTACCTATTATATGCTTTTCATGCTCTCTGAGATATTCTACACCATCACATATCCATACTCCTAGATACTTGTATTTACTAGCTCTCTCAACTGTAATATTCTGTATCTTCAGCCTCTCAACTTCATCCTCGTTAAAAATCACGACTGCTGATTTTTCGCTACTGAATTCTAAACCTAATTCCTCTCCTTCCTTCCCTACCACAGATGCTCATTAATTCCTGCAACTCTGTCCTGTTGTTAGCCATTAGTACGATATCATCCGCATACATCAATCCCGGTAAGGATTGCTGAATTTTTTGGCCTAGCTTACTGTAAGAAAGGTCGAATCCAAGCCCACTCTTCTCTTGTCTATCCTCCAATCCTCTCAGATACAACATAAACAGCAAAGGCAATAACGGGCACCCTGCCTAAGGCCTCGTCTTATCTCTATTTTCCCTGTCGCCTTTCCTTCCCATGTTATAATCACCTTGTTATCTTTGTAAATGTTCCTTAATAGTGCTGTTAGTTCTTCATCTAGGTTTAAGCTCTCCATTATGTCCCACAGGTTTCTTTGGTTTACGTCATAGGCACCCTTGATATCCAGAAATGCCAGCCAGAGCTGTCTGTTTTCTTTTTGCGCTATTTCTATACACTGTGTTAGAGAAAATAAATTGTCCTCCAACCTTCTTTGTTTCCGAAACCCGTTCTGTAACTCGCCCAGTATGCCCTCGCAATCTACCCATTCCTCCAATCTGTTCCTTATAATCTGCATTACCAACCTGTAAATAACCGGTGTCACGGTTATAGGACGATAATTCCTAATATCAGACTTATCTCCCTTTCCCTTATATATCATACTCATCCTACTAAGCCTCCATTCATCTGGAATATTTCCTTTTGTTATCATGGTACTCACTACCTCCCTTAGTTTTGCCTTAGATTTAGGACCCAAATTCTTCACCAGCTTGATAGGGATACCATCTGTGCCTGTCGACGTGCCACTAGGGACTCTTCGTTCCGCCTTTTCCCATTCTCTTTGTCCAAAATCCGCGATGTCACAAACTGGACTGCTACTTCCTTCGGTTCTCCTATCTTCCACATGTACCCGTTCCCGAAATTTCTCCTCCATCACTGCTCCTATATATTGTATCGCATCATCTCCCTCTAATTGATCTCCCTGACGCGAGAGTATGAACCTCTGTCTAGCTTGCGTTGTTTCACTGAGTGAGTTCAAGTGCTCCCAAAACTTCTTGGCAGCGTTTCTATCTTTCTTACTTACATTACTCATCCATTCCTCACCCTTTCTCTGAATTTTCGCATTGATCAAACTGGATGGCTCTCGGCGACATGTTATAAAATTGTCCCATTTTCTTTTTACTTCCGTTTCGGACTCCCCACTACGCTTGGAATACCTGTGTTCTCTAGAGGCTTCCCGACGTTTTTGTACCGCTTGCTTCACTTCTTTGTCCCACCAGCTTTTTGGCCTATGTCCTTGCTTCCCCTTTCGTTTACTCTTAACTTTGTCTTGTTCTAGAGCAAAAAGCCTAGTTAGGCTCTCATAGGTCCAATCTGTATACCGTTGCCCTGAAACTGCTGCCTCTATTCTTTCAACAACTATTTCCAACTCTTTGTCGCTGCAGAAAGTTTGCTCTGAATTATGTTGTCTAGTTTCAGCATTTACTTCTCTGGCAAAATGCAGCTTAATACGTTTGTGATCACTACCAAGACTTTTGGAACCTTCTTCATCTATTTTCATTACTTGTAACTTACCATATATTTTGTGTGACATGAGTACGTAATCTATAGTTGAATGCAGATTGCTAGTTTCCCAAGTTATGTGCCCATCACACTGCTGACTGGTATTACATAAAACTAAGTCATGTTTTTCCACCAGTTCTAGTAATATGCTTCCAGTTGAGTCCGCATACCCATCCAGACCCTCAATATGGGCATTCATGTCTCCCATAATAATTATTTCGGAGCCTTCCCCTAGTTCACTAATGTCTCTTGATATGCAATCAATCATTTTTCTGTTTTCCTCTTTAGCACCTGTCCCTGTCCATAAGTAAACCACTCCAAGGACTGTTGATTCCCCAGCGACGTTTCCTTTCAGCCACAAATGTTCGGCGCACTCCTTTCTGATCCTTTGAAAGTTCATATTCTTCTTAATAAATGCTCCAATTCCACCTCCCTTCCTCGTTCCCTTCATTCTGTTGCATTCTTCCCACACATAGTCAGGGTTGCAAGGTGGCTGCTCCATGTCTCTGAGATGTGTTTTCACAAACCCATACACCATTAAACCCTCCTTTCTTAGTTGCTCCTCTACCTCTTCCCATTTTAACCTATTTCTACCACCCTGCATGTTAATATATCCAATGTCTGATTGTGCTGTTTTTTTATACCTGTTCTTACGTTTTCTCCTCTTTTTAACCCTGGGTGCCTCTCCTGACTTCGTTGGGTTTTCAATTACATCAGTGCCCCCAGGGCCCTCGGTCCCCCCAAAAAAGCAGTCACCGTGCGGCCCATCCTCTCCCCCACCCTGTAACCCGTGGCCTCACTGTAGTGAATGCCATCTGCAAAAGGGCGGAAGCCAGCCTCGTACACTTCTCTGTTTACTTCCATTACGTCGTGCCGAAGCTGTCGACTCATACCCTTAATTACTCCGTTGGCTTCGACAACCCTCCTCTCCGTTAACCCGGACTGCCCCCGAACTTCTGGAATGGTGCACACAACCACATGCACATTCTCAGACACGTCCCTCAGCTTACGTATTCCCATGTTTAGCTGCTTTCCGAGGTTCTGGCTCCTAACCTTCAGCACATCATTAAG